TTTGTTCTTCTCTAGTCCCTGGGTTCTCTCAAAGCACCATAAATCAGTACAACTGTCACACTCATCTGGAACACTTATAATGTCTGGCAAATCCTGTTTCTCTAGAAGATTCTGTAAAGAATGTGGAACTTCTAAATTCATTTTTAGGAAAGAGAATAATTTCAAATTGAAAGTGGCATGCTGTGAATTACAAAAAAAATTAAAAATATATGTTGCCTACCCCTCCCTTAATCCTCTCCTTTCCCTTGATTCCCACCACCAATGTCACTTATGTCATACTGTGTATGTATGTGTGTCTATACTGGGGCTTAAACTTAGGGTTTGGGCACTGTCCTGAGCTTTTTTTGCTCAAGATTGGCATTCTACCTCCGTTTTGGCTTTTTGGTGGTTAATTGGAGATAAGCATCTTATGAACTTTGACTGCTCCAGTTGGCTTGATCCCCTTCAGTACAGCACTGTGTTAAAGGGAGGCTCCTTCACTCTTGAAACATTTTCTGAGCTTCCAAGCACACAAGTACACAAAGAATACCCAGAGCCTTGAATAGTGGGACGTGGTTAAGAATTTTTGATGAATGAACCTAAAACTACTGAGCATAGCTGAATACTATTACTCTGGATGCCTCAAAGCACATCATGGTTCAGAATTTACCAATGTGGAATGAAAACTTGACACTATTTAGAATGCTGAATCTAGTAAATTGCCCATCTTCCCCCTGGTTCTTGTCTATGGCCTACAGTGTAAATTCATCTCATCAATCCTGCCCTCCTGTGAACTCTCCCTGTGTCCTCTTTTTCTCAGTCTCAATCTCTAGATGAGGATCAACATCATTGCCTCCTCAACTCATACTACTTTTGCTTCCCCTTCCAAACCACTGCTTCCCCGCTTCCCTCCTAACACATCTCATCCCTTAAAGTTCATGTAGTGCATTAATTAGGCCTCTTCATCGCTGTCATCTATGTTCCTCAATGGCTGGCAAGCAGAATTCCAAATAGTGGCTGAATGGCTGGCTATCTGAATAATATTGATGGAATAAAAGATGTTTTCTTAGCCACTCTTCTGCATTTGTTTGGTTTCTGTGTCTAGCTCTTTATAATTCTTTCTATATCTTCTTTCCTACCTTGAGTCTTGGTGAATGAACAATGGAGAAACAAAATTCATTCTTACAATCCCTTGATCTTCTAAGTGACTATATCCCTTCACATATATCAAGCATGCTGTCTACATCTGGAACTTTTTGTGGCCTGTTGTGAGACCACAATGTTTTATGTTTTCATCTCTCTTCTGCCCTACATCCAATCTATTGATATTTTGATCTCCCCTCAGTTTCTTGATCTTGCTTTCCTCTTGACCCATCCTAGACTACTGTCTTAAAATATACTTAACAACACCTATTGTCTTTTCTCTCTTTAGTTCTAATCCATTTAAGGGTACAGCTAGGTTAAAAACCACCAACTACCTTCTTTTAATCTTGCCCGGACTTCTGAGCACAGCTTGGGGAACCACAAACTTGAGAACACTGCTACTACCCTTTACTTATCTCTGCTGAATCTTAGTTAGCTACATGAGTTCTTGTCACGGTGTTTATCATATCTCCCAGTCACTCCTCCACACCTGTTTTGCCTCATTCACAGCCAGTAACTTTTCTTTTTCCTTTTACAAACACAGAATTCCTTCATTTTCTGTTTTTTCTACCTATGAAGTGGTCTAGTGACCAGTGCTTCCTTCCTAGATCAGCACCAGGTTTTATTCCTGCTCTATAATCTTTCACACCCTTCTCATTCTCTTCTATCAGCTCTTGGCCTTGTTTCCTCAATTATTTCATTCATTTTTTTTGAAGATTTATTATGCACTGGGCCCTATTCTAGATGCTGGCAGACAGAAGGAAGACCAAGAATAAAATCCTGTATCTCACTGGAGATACGCAGGGTGAAATGTCTATGAAAGACAGAAAATAACCAAGTTGAAACTTCAACCAACAAGACAATTTCTCTTCATAGACTTCAGCCATGGGAACAAGAGGAAAAACTAGTACTGCTGCAGTAGAATTTAAATGAGCTTAGAGCCTTTCCATCAGTGCCCCCTGCCTCCAATGTGCCCTAGGACTTACTCTAAAGACAGAGCTTCAACTCTCTTTGCCCCTGAATAGCCCTCAAAAAACTACATTTCTTCTTTCCTATTATTTTGTCTTTCTTAGAAGACTACTATATACAAGCCATTATGTTGTTTTCTAGGCCACCTTTTCAGCTGAAAATGCATGTTAAAAAACACAACAGAAAGATAAAGAAAAAAGCTATTATATTGCTTAATTGTCCATCACTGTTCACCTCTATCCTGTTTGCGTCTTCACTATCACTTCACTGAGTCCATTCCAGCAAAGGTATCTAATAACTATCACTCCACAGTAACAAGTTTGAGTGGCATTTTCTAGCCATCTACTATTATACCTATTCTTCCTCCAGGGCACAGACTATACAGTTCTTTGAGGTTACAGTCCAAGCTACTGCTCATTTATGACTCTTAAATGCTGATGTTAAATGTAGAGTTTCCCCTTTGCCCACATTCTCCTTTTAATGTACTCATAAAGTATGTTGTCTATATAATTCTTTGATATTAACAGGAATACCTTTGATAATAGAAAATAAAATAATTACTACTTTGGAGTAAAAGATGTAAATCAAGACTTGCAAACAAAATAGGATAACGTGGCACCTTTTAGCTAACAAATACATGCTGATTACTTGCAAAATTCAATCTATAGTATGACACTGATCTTGAGCTTTATTTTCTAAGTCTTTGGGTTATGATTTCACATATGTATTTTAGACTCAGCATTGCCAAAATACTACTAAAAACCTGCTCTTTGTATTTCCTAACCAATGACTCAGACACTCAAGCCTCCAAGTAGGTGATTGATTTAGATTTTCCATTTTCCCTTTTATGTTTAGTCAAAAGTCACACTGAGTTAAGCATGGATGATTTGTCTAACCTACTGTTTCCTGCTAGACTACTGTCATATTCAACCTTGTCTGATCTCCTTGCTCTAGTCTTTTCTTCTTCAAGTTCACTTTACACACTGCTGCTAGAATAATTTCAAATACTTCTGCACTGACTATTTCAATAACTCTATTGCTTATAGGTTAAAAGTGTTTATCCTGATTTCTCCTGTTCACTTCTTCAGCCTAATGATCTCACTCACTCTCTTTGTACTCTACTGCTACAAAATCACTTGTAGAAACACATGCACACATCCCCATTAAGCAGCCTCTCACTTCCAGGGCTCTGGTTATGTTATTCCTTCTGCATGGAATGCATAGCCATTATTTTCTCTCTTCTCTCACAGATTGCCCAGAGGGAGCTCAGTGTTTCTCCTTCAATTTTTATGCTACCTGTCCTCTCAATCGCAGCATCAGGTGTGTTCATTTACAAGTGTTTATGTTAGTCTTCCCTACTGGCTGGCATGCTTCTTTAGGACAGAGGCAATCTTAAATACAAAACAAATATTCCCTCTCACTTTATGATATATCATCCACTGTTACAGTTCTAACCAACAAAATTAAAATAAGTTAGGCTAAATTTTGAAATGAATGAACAGCTTCATTACTATTGCACTTTCCCACATGTGCCCATGTTTTATAAAAATCATCAGTAGAAAGATTAAAAATGTGTAGGGGCTTCAGCTGCCAAAAATTTGCCATGTTTTATGAAATTAAGAGTAGATCTAAGAGACAGGATGATTAAATTAAATATATGTGAGTGATGTGCCAAAGTTATGAAAAGAGCAAATTGTTAATTGTTTAAGATTACAGAAAATCTGAATATATTTCAATAGTTGTTTAACTTGGAAAAAATTTAAAAATAAACTTATTACTTAAAATTTTAGCAAACATACAACTTTAAAAGGGAGATTAGTATTTACTATCCAGCATTTATCACATCTACCCAAACATTCCTCTCTATTATCCAAGGATATCTTCTTATGTTTTCTATGCTCTTATGTGATTAGGTCTGGCTCCAAAAAAAGGAACTTTCACTTCGTTAAACCCCAAACACAGGAGAAGAAAAGAAAAAAACAAAATAAAATTTCTAAATAATTTGGAAGGAATTAAAAATACATAAATATTTAAGGCATATTAATGTTACCGGACATATCAAAAGAACATTTGGTATTTCATGAACAAATCAAAAGGCAGATTTAACAGTCATGATTAAGAATAACTCCAAATTATATGCTGTTTTTCTTTACAAAGTCCTACTATACAATAGTTTTATATTTCCTAATTCAATCAAGCAATTTGTATAATCTTTTCTAATTATACCATGGCTAACAAATCTTGTTCTGTGAACTGTGCTTATTTTTTTGAGAAGGAAAAAAAAACTCAGGGTATCTTTAAATTTAAAACATGCACTGATATTTTCTTCATGCTGAGGATTGCAGAGCATTTGCAGGCACTGGCTTTTTAGCTATGATATGCACTCATGGAGGAACCTGATGAGATGGAGCACTTCTACCATGGGACACTATACATTTGGAAATAAATTTTGTTAAAATTTTACTGGAAAGTCGTCAAAGACTCCAGATTTATTTCTTTTTATTGGCAATGTATTGATACTATAAAAAAAAAAAATCTCCCAATAAGTATCTCTGGATACTCACTGTGTGTCAGAAGGTGGAGCTCTAAACATATCTGTAATACTAGCTTTTATATATGCACTTCACAAATGTGTGTAATGAGGAGATTAAAGCAGGGGTAAAGTGTTTAGAAAAATGGTTCTAAAGAATATTCCAATTCTTTCAGGATAAAATCATATATATCCTAGTATGTATATGGCTCACTAACAGAAAAGATGTTTAATGTTTTTCTTTGATTTTTACATAGTTTTTATATAAAAAGGTAAATGTATACAGATCAGGTCATAAAATATAGTGTATTTAAAAAGCAAAACATATTGAAAAGTCAGGATCACCTAGTCAAATGAAGGTAAGGTCATTAATACTCACAAGCATCTCGGATGTAGAGTAACATGGCTATGAAGATGTAGTCCACTAAACTTAGGCTAAGGCCATCTGCAAACAAGGCATCCCAGACCACCAGAAGATCCTGCAGAGGGAATTCTCGGCCAAACAGCAGCCGCACCCACCGTCTGCAGAGCAACAAAACAAAAATTCAGGAAATAGGTCTTTTGAGAATCACACAAAGAGTGATCATTTTTCTCATGTTAATATGAAAAAATAACAATCGGGCACAGTGAGAAAATATATACACAAAATATATTACAATAAAATTTGAGTTTTAAATAAACACTATGTATTAAAAATGTAATGAAGTAAAAATCTATGTTTTCAGGTTTTAAATTAACTTTAGAATTCCATACTAGGCCACAATTGTTAAACATTATTTTTATGTGTATAAAACACATTATGCTCAAAAAGACAAAAGAATTTCAGGTTTAATAGAATTAAAAATTCCATATTTTATAGAAGTGACAAATTCTCAAAAGGAAAAGAGAAAATGGATGTGTAGTTGATCTAGTACCATTATGTAAGATTATAAATTAAAAGTATAATTTTGAAATTTTCATGATCTGTACTGATTGTTTTGTTGCTATTATTTCAGATTAAAAAAATTTTTAATGGCAAATTAATATAATCAAACTCATTCTCATCCTTTATTTTTATTTAAAATTTTCAGTTAAAAATTAATACAAGAAAAGCCGGGCGCTGGTGGCTCACGCCTGTAATCCTAGCTACTCAGGAGGCTGAGATCTGAGGATCGCGGTTCAAAGCCAGCCCGGGCAGGAGAGACCATGAGACTCTTATCTCCAATAAACCACCAGAAAACTGGAAGTGGCGCTGTTGCTCAAGTGGTAGAGCGCTCGCCTTGAGCTGAAGAGCTGAGGGACAGCGCCCAGGCCCAGAGTTCAAGCCCCACGACCGACAAAAAAAAAAAAAAAAAAAATTAATACAAGAAAAAGTCAGCACTACTGTACATATTTCTCTGTCAAGTGTAGATAGCTATATCAGATTAGCAAACCAATGTTCTGAGCAGTGTTTTTTATGCTGATTTCTATGGCCATGGGACAGGATAATAATACTAAATAATGCTTACATGTAATTGTGGAACACAGTAGTGATATTTTAAACTTTCAATAAATCATATTAAGAAGTTTATATCTAGCACTTATAGGAAAATAAGAGCAATTAGATTTGGTATGTTTTAAACCATTTATTCCTACTTTTATACAAGTTACAATTTTCTTCCACGCCTATTCTCTAGGAATTAAAGAAAGAATTCTGTGTGATTCTAACACACGGCAAATTTAGTTAAAAACTCTAAATTTCTAGTACAACTAATATAGGGTAGAAGAAATTATGTTAGAACTAGTTAAGAGATAGTAGTTTTTTTGTACAATTGAAACCAAGTGTATTAGTGGGGCTAAGGTAGGGCAAAAATAGGTAGCAAATATTATGTTCTTTACAAACAGGAGCTATAGCTGTGATAAACCACACATATGTATCATAGTTTATTAGCAATAATGTTATCAAATACTTAACATTTTTATTCATATTATCAAATTAATCAATAGAAATAATTAGATTGCATCTACATATGTTAATATTTACTACTCCAGAAAGAAAAAAAACTATCAACCAGTTGCTTTCCTTAATTGCAAAGTATTAACTGGTCTTGCAGTAAGTGTTGGAAGAACTGGGGATGGGCAAAACAAACAAGCACAAGAGTTAATCATTTTGTGTAGCATTGCAGAGGACTTTTAATTGACACAGATATTTGCATTCCTCAATGACTACACATTTAGAACTTGGGTACTCAGTCATTTGACTCACATCACTGTAAGAAAATTCCGTCAATGAAAAACAAATGAAGGTTAATACACAATGGGAATACAATACTATCTTTCCAGCCTCCCTTATAGCTCAAATTTCTTTTATTTTCATAGGGACAATAATAGTATTAGTTTCATTATAGATAATGCTTCAAGAGCAAATAAAGAAAATAGATTATTTTTTTAAAAATCATTTATAAACCTATTATTTCTATGACAAAATGTTCAGTTACTGCTCAAACTTCTCCTGCAACATTTCTCCTGATTGGGGTTGTATGAATTTAGTTTCAAAATGACCCAACCAAAACAAACCTACATGCAGCAATCTTCACTGAAGCACTGGCAGGAAGACTAAATGCAAATTCTAATTTGCACTGAATAAAATAGTTCTTATTGTTTTTTGGGTCAAACTATCTACATATTTTAAATATATATCTATATATTGTTATTATAAAGGTGATTTACAAAGGTTTTTTTAGTTACATAAGTCTGGTAATGAATACATTTCTTTTTAAACAGTGTCAATCCTTCCCTCTCTATCTCCCAGTTTTTTCCTCCCATCCCCATCCACTAGTTGTATAATTTATTTTCAACATAGTGTCTAGTGAGTATCACTGTTCATTTGTTAACATCATCAAAACTACAAAAAATCTAAGACTTTAGTATTTTTATACTTAATATGTAAGCTATGGTGTGAGGCTTTACTAAATTTTCATACTGCTTAATTCCAACTTTTACCTTGCCAAATACTTTGCCAAATAATTCTAGATCAGGAACCAGATTTGTGTGTGTGTGTGTGTGTGTGTGTGTGTTGGGGAGGAAAAGGGAGGAAAGAGGAAGAGGGAAAGAAAGAAGAGGAAAAGGTAGGAAAGAAAGGCAGGAAATCTAGGACATTCTTTATAAAGAGCTTTATATACTCCACTAAATGCTTTATGTGATGTTTACCAAGGTCTCATTAAATGTACTGTAAAGCCACCTGTAATGCTACTGAGAAGCAAAGGCAGAACTAAACTGAAGTCCAGACACAATTGCAATTGGTGACACAAAAATAATTCAGAACATGTGGAGGAAAACCCCAATACCTAAGAAAATATAATTTGTCACTAGATAAATAGCATGTGACTTTTATATATAATTGCTAACAATCTGTACATGCAATGATGTGAAAGTAAAATGTAGTTCCTTTTACTTAATATACAATTATAGAAAAATTAAGGTCAAATTCTGAGAATCTTTCACAAGAACCATATGACCAAATGGAATACTGCGAAACTATTGATAATTTAGTCTTCTTAATCACAATTGGATTCACTTCATACATATATTTACAACACAAAAATTCCTGTGTTATTCTGTTTTCTACACTGAGCTTAAAACTCAAATTAAAACTCAGCCCTTCAAGGAATATGTAACTATTAGAAATTATTTCAGTAAGCTTTTGTATTCTTAGAAAGGAAAACTTACTCTAAGAAATAAGATCATATAAAGAAGTCACTTCTATAATTAACATGTTATTTATGCATTTTAAAATATTTAGTGGAGTTTAAGTTACACTTGGGGGTAGCATTTAAACATTTCTTTTCCCCTTAATAAGAGGTTCAGTTTAATTGCTTGATATTATTAATCTTGCTTGATGTATGTTACACCTGCAGATTTCAATGCTCATATTGTATCACTGTGATAATACAATAATTCATATTTTACTAGATCTAGTAATTAAAATTTGCACAAACAAAATGACTGTCTTGAAGTACTACATTCAAAAACAGGGGAATTTCTATTTTTGTAACTCATACAATTATTCTCAATTTTAAGTTTCTTGTGTAATTAAGCTGCTATACCAAGAGGATGAATAACAACTCATAGTGTTACTGCTTTTTGTATGACCCATAGAAACACCAAGATAAGTACATTTTTTCCCCATCAAATTTGTTTAGAAATTGACCAATTTGAGGTTTCAATGAGTATAGTCTTAATCCAACATGGTTGTAATGTGTTATAGAGAAAAAGTTAAGTTAAATCCTAGCTCTTCATATCCTTTTCCTTGTATGACTCGTTAGTGAGATATCAGTATAGTATTCTTATAAAAACAAGTGATATAGAAAAGCTACAGTCAAACTAATTTAACAAACATTACAAAGGCATACCAACTGACGCATGATGATGAAATTACAGCACTGGTTAAGATTTGGAACACAAAAGAACAATATTTTTTGCTCTATGATATTAATTGAGTTTGCTATTGTTTATGCTTTTCAAAGCTTATAATTTTTAAATATCCCAGGCCTAATATGGAATAAACACAGGACTGAAATTCTGTATCAGAACCCCCCCAAAAAATTTTTAGCCAAAAATGTTCTCTGGGGTTGAGTATCTTCTTGACTGAGTTTAGATTCTTTTTTACATTGGTATTCTTTGTATTCATTCTTTTAAAATTAATTTATTCTGATTATCCTTTATATTAATTTTATGAGAACAATCTCAAATATGGAAGTTTTGTAATTATGGTCCAGTTATTTTCATCTTTCACTTCTTTACAAAGTAAAATTACAAAGGATGGACTGTAAAATAAATAACATTGTTTCAATTTCACACTTACTTTTCTAAGAGCTCTGAAGAATACATTAAATATCTGAAGATATTTAACCTGTCTCATAGACTTAATTCAAATTTGCTTTCTGAGCATTCTTTATAATCTATAGCTTTGCATCCATCATGAATTTGGCTTTCTGGGAACACATGTGAAACCTAAATTAGGGGTTAAATTAACCCCAAGACACACATAAATGAACCATTAAGTGAGTATTGTTGAGTATAAGGAATGTTCTCTCTTCCTTTCAGGGGGCAGTACATAGTCTTTTATTAAGGTTTCTTATTCCAAAAATAAGTTCCTAATAATTATCACCCCAAAATAAATTACAGTAATTTATTTTTCAACACAAGTGTGTGAAGCTGTTTGTCAGAAGAAATGTAATAGGCCCTTTGCAAAAATAGTCTGAATGGAACATACGCCCTGTATATTGATGTTTTTCCACATATATAAAAAGTTCAGAAGGCACTGGACATAAAGATGACCATAATATGCTGTGAATTTCTATAATCTTGGACATTCTTCATTCTCTTTTTCTCCATTTCTCTCTTCCTCTCCCCTTCATTTCTTCCCTCTCTCTCTCTCTCATACACATGTGCACACGTCCCATAACCTTAGCTTGGTTTTAGATAAATACCTATTTAAAAGTATGATATTTCAAAGACTGAATCATTTTACTGAGTGATTTACTAGTAATTCAATGGAGTCC